GGGGGGGGAGGAAGGGGGGGGAGCAGCTGGCAGGTGTCACCCCGAAGGCAGACTCGGAACGACCGAGCCGGCCGAGCGAGAGCAAGGGAGGACGAGCGAAGGAAACTGACGGGCGCTGTTCTAGGGCGAGCGGGAGACGGGCAACCCCCGGGGGAGATGAGGCCGGTCCTGGGGCGATTCCTACCGCGGCCACCAGGGGGCGCGCGGAGCCCCTCCCCCGGAGAGAACCCGCGCTAGGCGCGCGTGGAATTCCACGGCCGCGGCAGACGGGAGATGGACTCGTGACAGCCGCAGGGGCCCTCACATCCTTCACCGTCCCCGGTTCCCTCTTCCTTCCGGCCACCCCGCTTCCCCAGCGGCCTGCCGGGAGCCCCTTCCTCCCGCTTCCCTGGCCGGCGGGTGCCCAGGGCGCAGCAGGGCAACATTTTCAGCTGGTCTTCCGCATGGTCCCCGCAAAACCGCGGCCTCAGCCTTCCGTTTGGAAACAGTAGCACTTCAACGAACTTATACGAGGAGGGTTGTCCATAAAATACAAGACACCCGGTTAAATTTGAATCTCAGGCAAGGAACAAACAATGGTCCAGCGCAGGGGTAAATACATAGTGTCTGGTGTTCCCCCCGTGGCAGGGGCGGCCTGTGTTTGGGCTTGTTAACCTGGCAGCCCTGGCAAAGTGAGATGAAGGTTCCAGACCATACCCACTGACGCGGCTCTGACGGGTGAGAGACTCTGTGGCGTTATTAAAAGCAATCGCCCTAATTTTTAATTTCCCTCTGCAGGCGAAAGCAGGCTTTCAGAGGCAGCCCAGATCTGGGGCATGTCCTGCTATTTATTTGTCCTGGAGACATTATCACTCATTCTGTGCTTATAAATCTCGTGGCCACATTTGCGAGGTCTGATCCGTCGCCTTTAAGGCTTGGCAGAACGGTCTTCAGCACATCGAACCCCGTTTCGGTCACCCACGCTTGAAACCGTTTAAGACTCACATCTGTCTCTTCTCCTGTCCCTCCTTCCTTCTCACCCCCCCCCCAAACATAAAATGTTCTCTGTAATCCGTTATAAGGCTGAGCACTCCGGCTCTCACATATTGCTTTCCCGCGGTGAGCACATCTTTTTCCCCATGTGGGGTTCTCCTTTTAGAAGAGCGCCCATATGTTTTTCGTGGGGATGAGACATTTTGCCGCCTCTTCGGGGAAGGCCAGCCTCCCCAGGTGGCGTCCTTCCCTCCACAGGCCCTCTGAGAGCCAAAGCTGAGGGTTATGAAAAGCGGGGCCCTACTGGTACTGCAGGACAATTATGCCCCTTAAATCATAAACTCTTGCCCTGGCAGGGGGCTCAGTTGGCTGGGTGTCGTCCTTACACCAAAAGGTTGAGGGTTCGATTCCCTGTCTGGGCACGTACCTGGGTCTCAGGTTCCACCCTCAGTCGGGGCGCATGTAGGAGGCAACCGATCGGTGTTTCTCTCTCCCTCCCTCCCTCTCTCTCTACAGAAATCAGTAAAAAAGACATATCCTTGGGTGAGGGTAAAAGAAATATGAAAGAAATAAAATCATAAACTTCTAACAACGGTGAGTGCGCAGCCATATCAAAGAGGAGTGGATCTCGTAGGGCGTGGCGTCAGATCGGTTGTTGGATTTCTTTTCCAACTCCGTGGACTGAGGGCATCGCGCAGTGTCCCGGAGGCAGCCGGCCAGGAGCTTGCAGGCCCAGCAGGAGAAAACAGAGTGTCCGGAGTCCCGACAACCCCCAAAGCACCCGACGATGGATGTCTGCCCTGGGGACCACGTAGCACTCAGAGATGCTGTCGCCAGCAGAAATCTGAAAGCCGTCACCCAGTTCCACTGCCCTGGCACCACAGTGTGAGGCACTGTTTCATTCAAGCCGATGATGAGCTGTTAGCAAAGCGGAAGACTCGAGAAAGTCTGCATGCGTGTTAGAAAACTAACACAGCCTGGCTGCCAATAGCGTCCTGCTCCCTCAAACCTACAGGCCCTCAGCTCCAGGGCGGTGGCTGAATCCAAATTTGCGCACAGCGCTGGGCCGAGTGCACACCTGCTGCCACCCGAGTTCTCAAGAAGTTTCACCTGATTTCCTGGGCCTGCTTGGCGAACTTTAGAACATGGTCTTTTGGCATCGTGGTGAAGGCAGTTTTTGTGCAGCTTCTTTGCTGGGCAGAGTGGAAAGCAGACCTGGATGGGGAAACGAGCTCTGGTCTCCGGCTGGCTTTGAACCAGCGGTGGCACCTTGACCTGCTCGTTCAGTTTCCCTCGACCTCAGCATCGCCACCCGCGCGTGCGGGGTTGGATGAAACCCGCAACTTCTAAACCAGTTTTCCTATCGGGTTCCTATATTCTATCTGCACTGCTGAAGTGGGGGTCTATGGTCAGCTAAACGTGGCGAATGATCGATTAAATCAACGGCCTCATCGATGAGTATAAACACCTCCTCACGAGGGTGTGATGAGAATTGAATAGGTGATAGCGTAAAATCCTCAGCACAGTTCCTGTCACTTGGGAAAATTCTTAAGGTGTTTAGAACAAAACGGGCTCCATGAAGGAGGGAGAGGCGTCGAGGTGACCCTGGGGCGGGGAGGGGGCTTCCGGCTCCATCCGGGTCCACTGTGAGCAGGACGGAACCCCCGGAGGAGGCCACAGTCCCACGTCTTCCGAGTGGGAGGCTTTGCAGAGGCCTGTCACCCATGGAAACCGGCATCCTGAGGACCTGCCAGGCCTCTGTGCCCGGGACGGATGGGCAGCCCCTGCCAGTCTTGTCTGAGGCCTTTGTCAGGCCGGCTCCCCCAGCAGCCCACGCTGCATGGAGGTTTTGTGAAGGGCACAATTCGACACTCTGAGGAGACCACCCAGCTTCCTCCAAGTCTCCCAGAGAACAAAACTGCTCCTCTGTGTGCCAACGACCTCCCCTCTGCCAGGCCCCCTCCCGCTGTCCTGCCTGCCAAGGGGAAATGGAGGGGCGGGCAGGCCCGGCTCTGTGGGAACCCAGGGCATGGTGAGCTAATGAGCTGTCCCCAGCTCCAGGCCCAGCACTCTGTACCTGAGCTGCTGCTGCCACCGTGTGGCAAAGGTCTTTCCCGAGGCTCCGGGGGCCCTGCCAG